ATTCGATCAGTTTTTCAACTGCAGGGGCTACTTCTATGGATCCCTCTGTGAAAGCATTCTCACAGAAGTTCTTTTTTGCTGGAATTACTTATCCATCCATTCATTCACATTTATGAGAAGTTGAGCCGGTATGCACGTCTCTTCAACGTCGCCAAAATGCACACAATGCACAAAACAATATAAGAGCAAAGGCCTCGTTACTCTGCTACAAACGGTTCTCTTCTCTTTCTTGGACTTCATCGTAAAGTACGCCGCCTCTCCATCTGAGACATACCTTCCTTAATCAGCTCTTTAAATTATTTGATTTTCCCGTTGTCTGCTGTTTCTGTGAGCTCGTTGTGCAATAACGATAGAAAGTAACCAATGAAGCTTAAATGTTAATTCATTCTAATTATAAAAATAAGCTCTACACTCCTAGCAGCTGAAAAAATTATATCTGGGCAACAAGCGCTCAAAATACGGACTACGTCAAGGCTCTCACATGACCGTAAATGACGCGTCATAACCGAGAGAGAAAACGAAATAAGAAGGATTAAAACGTCCATAAAAGTATCGATGTCATGGACCTGAAGTGGTTCACAAACTAGCAAGTGGAAACAGATCCCATAATTTCTAAAACTCTAACCACACTTCACCGACAACTTATGTAATCGATTTGCTGCTTCATTAGTATCAGCGTGAAACTGTGAAACGTGGGAAAGCCAAGTACCTGATATCAGGTGATTTCCCAACTCTTCCAATGGTTCGGCGTACTTTCTGACCACGTGGTTCAGTCCCAAATCCAGCTCGTAAAACGTAAGCGTCTGCGAAGCCTTTACGGCAGCTTCACCGGTAGTATCGTTATCCGCATCCTATACAAGGTACAGATTTAGGCTGCGAACAGCAAAAGGCGTCTTTCACTTCGTAGTCAATCTCCAGACAAGCGAACATTGGATTTTCGAAGCCGACGTCGACGCCGACGATGCAGAAGCAAATCGTCTGCCCCTTGTGCGCCTCCAGCGGGGAGCTGATGGTCAGTCGCGCAGCAGCATCGCGGTTCATGATGTACACCAACTTCTGCTTTTCGCACGCTCCTAGAAAAGAGGCGCTGATTAGGCTTCTCGTAAAAAAATCGCCAGCATTCAACTACACCTATCATTATCGCCCTGCCTTTCGGATCGATGGCGAGGTATTGACCGGGAACAATGCGACGGCACCCGCTTTTGCCAAATGTCTCTTGATGAACCTTTTCGAAACAGTTCTTCGACGGATTGTATTCCAAAATTACGATACGGCCCGAATCCGTCCCAAGAACAATATAATCTGAAAAGAACTTATATGGTTATAATATTTTATGTTCAAATATTAGGTAATTTATTACAAAAGCTGAAAACAGATTTTCACTGACATTCATATTATGCATACATAACAGATAGGAAGTTCACTTTCGGTGTGCACTCATTTAAGCATAGTCGAATTAGGCAAAGGATTCGCCTTGTCGCTAAGGAACAATTCATTGACAGCAGGATAAGGTTTATTATCCCAAAATCGAAATAAGGAATACACATAGTGTTGATTATTAACATGGATAGTCAGCGATAAGGTGGGTCAAGGCGAACTGCAGTCACACGGGACGTTAGCATCAGACAGCATCGCCGAAGACCTCGTTTATTCTCGCATGAAAAGACCAGAACATGATGCTGGTTATTAGCAAGTCACCGACTTACTACCCGATTCATGGCTGGTTGTGCCGAAACAATGAATTAATTGTTCAAGGCAATTCGCGGTAACGAGAAAAGTTGTTCCTTGGGCGGATTCGAACCCTGCACTTCCGGAGTTCGAAGTCGACCTCTTAGGCATTGTGACACCACGCCATAAAGTTGACAAGTTGGCTGTTGATCGTAGTTGATGACACCACGGCAAAGTAATCACGACCCTATTAAATACGGCTGTCGGTCTGAGACCTGTATAAATGACTGTAAATGAAGCTATCACCCGTTCATACGTCCCCAGATCGTAACAAGGTCAGATTTAATCCTATTAGGCTTTGTTCGGTTGTGCAGCGCAGTATTTAGTAAAACGCTGCCCACTACGACTACCGTTGCCATTTATCGGCTCTCCATGCATGGCACGAAGCTTACAGCATTCCAATATTGAAGATAATCGCGAATAAGTCAACAGTGCTGGCCTTGACCTTTCTCAAGTACCCCCAGTAACTAGTATTCGAAGTCAAAAAATGCAGGTTAGGTCGTCTACCTACCTAATACATGGCAGTTAGCCGGCAGAAGACAAGCTGGAAGTATAGTCAGGCCAGCATTTAAAAAGCTCAGTGCAGATTTGCCATCTAACGTAACTACTTAAGTAGTCATCGAAGCTCCGCTGTGATGCATATAGTTTACCGACAAAACCCGTTGTGATAACATTCGTACATCGCCTGAGCTCGGAGACAGGTAATTATAACAGTAGCACATCTGCAATAAGTAATTATCTCTACTATATCGTCTGAAACAAGCACATAAGAAACGAACGTAACTGTCTGATGCAAAACACAAGAACTCAGTAACAGCTGCACTTTCTACAATATCTAAAAGCATGCATGACGATTGACCAATTGAGGCACAGCACAACAACCACTGGAACCTAACATTATCCATAGTAAATCGATATAGCAGACACTCTTTCATCGCTGAATCAAACAAAGAAACAGAAATGTTAGAAAATTTCTTACGTAAATCCTTGCTACCGTATCATCCACTCATTACTGCAAAAAGAATAAAGGGTTTTGAAATAGTCACTGAAAGGGGTGCAAAGCTAGGCAGTTTACTACAGAAATGGTTCAAAACAAGTCACCACATTTAAAGATTTACTTTACTTATAAGACATCGTGCCAGGACTACCTCGAGTTCAACAATGGCACGATTAAAAGTAAAGTAAGAACTTATATTAAAGAACATGCATCAATGTTTTCAATGGGAAAAATACCCTTAAGTTGCACTAGCTGAGCATTCTCTCATCAAATTGCACAAGCTAAATAGCCGTAGAGTGCAAATTTTAACTGTAACATTCTGATGTTTATAAACCTTAAAGTTAAAGATATCACATACACAATCATTTAACCAGCAGCGTTGAAGAACGGAAGTCAGCTATGATAACTGCTCTAACTGAAAGCACCTAAACTGATTATATGCAACCCCTTTAGCGCTGCCATTTGTGTAACGTTACTTTGCATTTGATCCTGCTTATCCTGAAAAATATTAACGCCAGTTTAGTCGAAATATTGTATATTATAACATTTTGACAGTAACGTCATTCCAAAGTTACGCTGAGCTGCGCAATCCCTATCTCAGATCTTTGTGGCATCCCGCTAAAAATTTTGCATCGCATGATACAGAATTAGCAACTGCACATCACGTATTCGCGAGTGCATTCATTTAACTAGTGACAGCCTTGCAGAGTATGACGTTGTTACATAGGTTCTGTCGGCTTTTATGTTACCCTGCGGTTGATTTCATGCTTGACATTTCTGTAAAGGCGTATGTAGATGAGATTCTGAGCTTTCGATGCGCGTACTTACAACTTTTTCTAAAAAATCGTTATAGTGTGCTTGCCAGAAAGTGAGCTTCGAGTGACCTACAGATACAATGGCTTTTTGTGCAATTTCACTCGAGTTTAAGATGAAACACCAAACGAGCGACGCAACTCGCTCGCAACGTTAAAAACGCAACATAGTAACTCGACAGAGACAGTGGCGTCAATCACGTGGTAAAGATCAGTTTCCACCAAAAGAATCTTAAGGTCAACGTATGGTAAGCGCAGCGGATATTACCCATTAAAACTTACTAATATCCAGCGAAACGATAACAGCTTAGAGGCACTGTTGCAAAGAGGACGTTGCCCGTCAGAAACTGCGCAATGCAGATCCGGCATCGGTGAGTCGAAGATCCTTCATCGCATTACGCGACAACACTCACCCTCATGTTTCACTGGTCGCTCTACAGAAACTGAATCAGCTGAGGTACCACATCCTTTAACGCCCCAAAAGCTTATCCCCCTAAAAGCTACCAGCTTTAACATCTTGACAGTTTCTTCTGGGATAAACCTCTCTCAAACTGTGTATCTGTGATCATCACCTTGAGCCGTTTGCATAAGCAGAACGTCTCAGGTTTGTGATGTCCGCTGTGTTCGCAGATTTACAACACTCCTGCTATAAGACACCGCTGTATGATGGCCTCCTAGCCAAATTTCTTGAAAAGTCTGCCGTGTTTCACCCTACAAACGAGAAGCAAGCGGACTGGAGTAAACGTTTTCTGCTAAACTAGACTGTCTAACAGAGATAGTCGCACATTCATAATCTCCATATCTATAGCGGCCATCCGTCCTGCAAGAGAATGTAGTCATTCCTCACGTAGCACTGTGAGATAATCTTCATTATGCGCCGACGCGACTGCATGCAGTTCAACCGCAGTTTTTATTCATTCGTTTGAACAACTGTCACCTTACTGTATAACAAACTGACCTTACGGAGGCGCTATACAGACGGATTTCTGTGGAATGGGCAATCCTGATTCAATTCGATTGTGCCATCGTTGGAGATGACTGAGCCGAGATACTTACACTAGTCGACTTAATCTATCGCTTCGGCCTCTGTTCAACTAGAAGATTAGCAGTACCTAATGGGTTTCTCACAACTTTTTCTTCCGGGAGATAAGAGAGGGGACGGCTTTTGCAAGGGTGTCGAAAACTGAAGCCGTTGTCAGGTTACAGAGCCCGCTTCTCGTATTGCTAATTAAAACAATATCATCTGCATCCTTCAGCTCAGTAAGACATCTAGCCGGATATCTCGAACTGCGCCTTCTCTCTAGAATGAAGCCGACCTTGCCAGGGTCAGCGCTTTTTTCGAAAAAGAAGGAAGAAGAATGTTGAATAGCAAAGGCGAAAGCCCATCTGACTGGTGAACTCCACTGTTCATAGGG